CCTGATACTAGATGGGCAGATCCTATTGTGGATAGACCCAAGGAACAACAGTCCCACCCAACGGGCTGCCAACATCATATGAAGAGAGCTAAAGTAAAGGTGCCTCGGGCCTTCCTGCCAAACCTCAAGTTGAAAGAGTTTTAAAGTGACAATTGTAGACATGTCAGCTCTCTGCCTACTTCCCCTTAACTCTTCCTCCACTTTGAGCACATTCCTTGAATTCTAACTGGAAACATTTCTTCCTCAAAGCTTTGTTGGATATCACCTTCAATCCACAGATGCACTTGATCACTAATATACTGGGTTCCATTTTAAACTGTGGACTGAACTCTCCTCCCTCCTGTAGGGTCCTAAAGAGGGAAGCAGTAAAGATACTAAAGTGGGAATCAGAGGATGCATATTCCTAATTTGCTTCTCACTTTCTGTCTCCATTCAACATTGAACAATGAGTTTTGCTAAAGAGCTGAAGTCATAGAGTTCAGTGTTCCCATACTACAAATGAGAGAAAGAAGAGAAGACACTCACCCTCCCTGCAAAAGGGAGAAAAGTAGGGATAGGAGGGGAGAGACAGAGATGGGGAGAGAGAAAAGAGGAGATATGGGAAGAGGAAAGGACACCTCGAAGGAAAGAGACTTAACAGCTCTCTGAATAAGGAACCAGGTTCAAACAGATTCTGAATACAAGATGAATATTTTTCAAACATGTATGGCCTCCATCACCATCATAATATGACTTAAACAATGTGTTTTTTTATTTATTATTCTGGTTTATTTTTTATTTATTTATTTTTGTCGATTGTGGGGCTTGAACTCTGGGCCTGAATGCTGTCCCTCAGCTCTTCAGCTCAAGGCTAGTGCTCTACCACTTGAGCTACAATGCCACTTCCAGTTTTCAGGTGGTTTATTGGAGATAAGAGTCTCACAGAGTTTCCTGCCGGGCTGCCTTTGAACCTGACCCTCAGATCTCAGCCTCCTGAGTAGCTAGGATTACAGGTGTGAGCCACCAGCACCCTGCTTCTGGTTTTTTTGTTGTTGTTGTTGAACTCAGGATTTGAACAAGTTGATAAACACTCTACCTACTGAGCTTCACTCCAAACACAATCAAAACTTGAAATGTTGTTGTTGAAATACTAAACTAGCTAAATAATGAAATGACATCTTTATGCCTATAAGTTACAATAGATAAAATGACACACAGAGAATAAATGCTTAGTTGCTGAATATTTATATTTGAAGAAGTTAGTTGGAGAGTTTTAGTTTTATAAAGGAGATTTACTGGGGCTGGGAAGGTGGCTCAGTGGTAGAGCGCTTGCCTTGCGTGCTTGAGGCCCTGGGTTCGATTCCTCAGCACCACATGAGCAAAAAGAAAAAAGCTGGAAGTGGCGCTGTGGCTCAAGTTATAGAGCACTAGCCTTGAGCTGATGAGCTGAGGACAGCACCCAGGCCCAGAGTTCAGGCCTCACGACCGGACCCAAAAAAAATAAATAAATAAAAAATAAAGGAGATTTACTGGAAGAAAAGCATAGGTTAACTTTTTATTCAAAATCTGGTCTAGAAACTAAATTCTGTCATCACCACAGCTGTGGGACAGTAGGATCAGGGAAAAAAATTGAGACTTGGGCTTTTCAAGGAATGCTGGTATTGCCGTCAGTACTCTAGCACTACAGACCACTTCCATATCATGCTCCATTTCACAACCTTGAAGATATTAATTTACTCTTTAAAACATTCATTGCTTAGATTAAGATTGGGTTTTTGAAATGTGTTCCCAAATAATTTATGCAGGAGAAAAATGCTGAATACTAATTTGAGAATGATCTATTTTCTATAATCATTTTACATTTCATCCCCCTACTGAAAAAGTTCCGATCTTGGTTATTTTTTTCCTTGCTTTCATTTCCTGAAGGAGAGATTTTCATGCACTACGATTCAATACTATTAGTCACACAATTCAGCTTTTATTAAAATTCTATTTCCTTCTTTCTCTGAGAATGTAAGCTAGATCAATCTGATACAATACAGATATGCAAGGAAAAGACTTGTCTTCAGATACTAATTTTCAACTATTATCAAGTAGGAGGACTAATTTCCTGCAATGCCTAGAAATATCAATGTTCTACTAAGATTATTTCTAGAAATAGTCATTTTGGGTCAATATTATTTATTTTTATATATCTTCTCTGTTTAAAAAATATTTTTATAAAGCTGACATTCAGAGGTTACAGTTACAAAATTCAGATAAAGAATACATTTTTTTGGACAATGTCAACCCTTCCCTCCCTTTCTTGCAGTTTTCCCTCTTGTCCCCATCCACAACTTGCTTAGTTCATTTTCAACATAGTGTTTAGTGAGTACCACTACTGTATTTGTTCACCCTTTTCCCCTCCATTTCTGTTCCCTAATTCCTCTCCCAAAGAAAGATAAAGAAGACAAAAAGAAAAGAAAACAAAAACAGCACCAAAAGAAAAAAATCTCTTGTTTCCCTTTTCTGCAGTTCATTTAGATATTATTTTCTGTGTTCAGAGACACATAAGCATTGCATCTTTGTGTTCCATCCTATGAATACCCTCCTTCAGTCTTACTGTGTGTGACTGCCTAGAGTCCTGTATAATTTATCATGTTCCTGTGTATTTTAGACCTAGCTTCTATATATGAGAGAAACATGCACTGTTCTCTATTTTATTTTATTTTCCTAACCATTTCATTGAAGTTTTGCAGTTCTTTTAAAGGCATTACTATAAATCAGACAATTTTAAGTATTCACTCAGGCTTGTACCAGGGTATGGTTATTGAAGAGCAGACATAAATTTAAAAGAGGCAGTTAAATTACCCTTGGGAATTCAAGATTGCTTTCTAAATAAATGAAGCAAATAAACAGGTAACAGCATTTAAGGAGGAGATCATGGGCATATAGTTACATCCAATGAATAATTAAAAGCATATTCATTTTAAATTACTAAGTTCTCTCTATGTATTTATTTGTTGGCTATGTAGACTTTCCTTCTAGATTTTCCTTTATGTGAAACACACACACACACACACACACACACACACACACACTGCTTGTGGTAGTTTCCAACATGGTTGCTCTGAGCACCCTTTCTTATGCCAGGATCTATTATCCATGGTAACAGGGTTGGTCAGTAAATAGTAACATTTTGGGCTTAAAATTTCACCTATTATATGTTAACTTCCTACTAACATGGATGAGGATGCACATCTCATCAATTCATTCCCACCAAACACCTTACATGATGGTAAATCTACCCAATATGTCAAACATTTACTCTTTATGTCAAATTTTTAAAAAGCCAATTTCAGTGCTTTCACTGGTAATGACTTCATAAATATTAACTACAGATAAGTCACTAACTCAATCTCAGTATTTTCATTGCTAATGACTATATAAATATTTTCTTTTTTAACCAATCTTTATGTATTTATTCACACATTTGATAAAAAGATCACAGTTAAGAGCAAAATCATTACAATGATGTAACTGTACAGAATCCAATTACTGTAAGTCAGAAGATGAGGCAGCCTCAACCACTTAGCACCAGTGTAGACTCTCACACATACAACTGTTCACAACCACAGGCGCTAAGTTCACACATGGCCCAGAGAATTTTCTCTGGTTTCTGTCAGGTCCCAAGGGAGAGAAATAGTGATAAAAAGATGCCAGACTGCTCAATGCAACTCTGCTCTGCAAAACAACTCCGAGAAGAGATGAAACACTGGGGCTTTCGTTGTTTCCTTGGCACATAAGTGAATAAACAACTAGAAGGTCAAGGAGGTGTTTAATTAGTCAGGTTTAGATTCCTTTCAACACCACAACAGGATAGCAAGCAGGAAAAAAAAAGAAGAAACTCCAGAAAAAAAGGAGGAGGATTTAAAATTTGATCCCCTATTCTCCCAAAAGACTGTGCATGACTATAAGGAAAACCAGTGAGGCCAAGCAGTACCATCTGGTACCATCCCAACAGTGTGGCCTGCTTTTGTTTCAGTTCTGAAGAGGGAAGGAAAATCTTTTTAAAGGAAGAAACCACATTCCCACTGCACTGAGTTTGAGGCATGACTGCATCTGTTCATCCACACAGCTTGCCTACAGTTCTGAAAGCTCTGAGGAGGGGTGCAGCCTACATTTCTCTTGCATTTAGCCTTCTGAGGACAAGCCAATTCAGTAGCTGGGGAAATGCCTGAACCAAAACAATGTATTTTCTAATCAGAATAGCTTTGGCGAGAAAGTGCTTAATTCCCCCAAGGCCTTTTTAATAGAAATATTAAAAAATTAAATGTGATTTTTTTTGTGTGCATTTCACTGACCCTGACAAAGGAACTAGTGATACAGAAAGCTGTTATCTAAAAGGGCTCATTTCTAGTGTTCCTGGCAAATGGCTAAGGCTGGCAAAGAAGCAATGATCCAAAGAATATAGCTTTGAGTGGGATAGTATTCTGCAAAAGGAGAAATTTCTTGGTATAAACTTCATGTCCCTAAGGATAAAAGGCACTTAACATGACCAAGTATCATTCATACCCATTCACACTAGACCTGTTACCAAGAGTACTTCCAGTGACCCCCCCATAAGAAATGACCAGCCAACCACACCTTCCAGGTGACTTGCAGAATGGAAGGAAATCCAAGCACTGCACAACTAATGGTAAGATATGGAATGTCAGCAAGGAAACTACTTGGAAGAAGCAGATGGAAATCATCCCCTTCTGGCCTGAGGTGAAAGGTTTGTTCCAGACTAGCTCGGAGAAACACTGAATCTCAAAATGGTTAGCCTGAGAATTTGACAACGCCTCCACAATGCTGCCTTCTCTGTTTGCTAGAGAGCAATAAGGGCTCTGAATAAGATCAAGACTCCAGTTAATGAATTATCCTGCATTGGTGGTTACAGCAGATGCCTTCTAATACATGTGGCTTGTCCCTGTTCTGTAGCAGTGATAAGGGACTGAGACAGGGTTAGAAGTGTCTGTCTATCCTTATCCCAAAGTCTTTCAGGCATATTCAATCTGAGCAGGGCTATGCCTACCCCCAGTCTTCTGCTCAGAGGACTGGGAAGTGGCCTTGGCCTCACTGTTCATTTCTAGAGGCTTAGCCGAGATGTAGTCCTTCACTTTGATCTCCATGTTCTTGGCTTTCAGAGTGGCTATGTGAAGCTTTTCCAGGAAATCTGGCATGCCGCTGGAAACCATCCAACTAACACAATAGCGAGGAAACACAGTCTGGGGATTGTCACTGTATGTCAACAAGTAGTCAAAGCTATTCTCATCATATGACTTGTGGGGACGGATAACCATTTGGGATTCATAGGATCTGACCCTCACAAATTCTGGAGACTGTGGCACAATGGAGTGTTGTACAGCAAGAGACACCAACACCATCACATTGTTCTCTTGATCCACACTGTATCGTCGAACCTAAACATAATCCCGAGAGTACATCGGATAAGGGAAATGGGTTACCCAGTGAAGAACCTCAGAACCACTAACCACGTCAATTACCTCCAGCTTGATCTCCAGAGATTCCCACTTTTTTCTATACTTTGTGTCCAGCTGAACATTGAAGAACTGCCAAGGTGTCACATCTGTGTAGGTTCCAAAAACTCGGTACTGGTAAAGGTGGGTGCCAATAATTGGGCGCCGCCACAGTTTAAAATGTTTTTTATCCATCGCCATTTCCCATGGTTCCTCTTTGTCCTTTAAATCTTCATTCCCTTCTGTTTGGGATTTTGATTCTGGAGGGTGATGCTCGACTCCAGAGCTCTGAAATATGCTTGACATTTCCTCCAACCGTTTCATTTCATTAATGGATCTCTGTAACTCCTCCTCCTGGATCCTCTCCTCATCCCACACGAAGACACCAGCAAGCGCTGCCATCAAGGCAGAGGCTGATGGCCAGGGCAGGTGTCCGAGCAGGACGCAGCGCGAGCTCTCGGAATACAGGCGATCTGGTGCGCGTATATAAATATCTTCTACAGATGAGTCACTAATTCTTTTGTTATACTCCACACGGTTTAGGTTTCATTAATGGTAATTTCCTGGTCCTATTTTGTTTCCATTTCCATTCTATAGGCAAATACATTATCCTCAAAATCTGCAAACAAATTAGAAATTTCGCAATAGGCATACTCCTGTGAGAACTTACAATACTCTTGATTTTACATAGATTGGTCATTTTGAGGGCCTGGTAGTAAGTACCTATGATTAATACACTGGTTGCTAGATCCAACTTCTCTTCTTTGTGATTTCCATAGTAATTTTTTTCTGCAGAATTTTTTTTCTGTAGAAGTTTCTAGAAAATGATTATTTTGAAATATTGAAGATTGAAATATTTAATACCATACTATATCAGTGAGACATAGAGTTCAAGGTTGGAAATAATGTTCCTTCAGTATTTTCTAGAAATGTCTCCAGTGTTTTCTAATTTCTACAAATATCTCCACTGAAAAGAGCCCTCCTAATATTCAGTTCTCTGTATTGTGAAATTTCTTATTTCTTTTCAGAAAAAAAAAACTTAACTTCCTCTCTTTATTTTCTTCTTCTGGAAGGCTATTCTCTAGACAATCCATTTTCCATGTATCCAATATACTTGATGCCTGGTTTAGAAACACATGCTTCTAAAATACAGAAAATGTTTTGTAGTATTTTAAAAATTATTTCAATATTCTTTAGCCTATCTTTTTGTAATTATTTTGGTGTTTATAAATTTGTATTTGTTTTTATTTTATAGTTTGATATATACTCACATATTTTTCTTCTGTAGTGGCTTTAACTTTCCTTAAAAACATTTGTACTGATTATGAATTCTTTTTATAGCATCTGTCATTAACCATTGAATTTGTAAATGAATATTAATAATATTCTTCTGATGCTTTTATTTGATTTCTACTTTTCCAGGGTTCTCTTACTATCATCTTCTCCATATTAGAAGTCATACTGGCATGCCTGAGGATCATTGAATATTCATTCACATTAATAAGAGATTAAGTCATCTAGAAACTCTTTTGTGTAAACCTAGTTTAAGAAATGATGATACTCTCTGTAGTGTCCAGACAGCTTTCATTTTACTTGGGATAAATATGACAAAATCTGTGCATATTTTCTTTGGATTTCTCCATTTTCATATAAAACCTGATCTGTTTTTTAATGACAGATTATAGGTGGCTGAAAGGGATGTTGGCTCTCATTAGGAAAAAGGATTTGGAAAGGACTTGTTATTCAGGATAAAAACATTGCTTGTCACTTGTCACTTCCTTCTTTCCTAAGGACTCTCATATGTTGACTCAGTTGATATCTTCAAGGCCTCTCATACTTTTTATTTTACTAGGTTTATTTGGAAATTTATCTTATTCTATTTGGATTTTTTTCAAAACTTTAGAATACCTACAATATAATGTATTAATTATAATGATAAATTATAATTATATTATATTTATTGATTATATAATTATTAATTATAATTATTAATGAATTAATAAATTCATATCTTCATGACTTCTACATATACTACAATATACGTTAGATCCGTGTAGGCTTCAACTTTCATTCAATATATTCTTCTCACATACTACATATCAAAGTATCAAACATTAAGAATTGTGGGAATGTAGAAAGAGGTGACAATGACCAAAATGCATTGTATTCATAAAATGTTATGTTGAATAGCAACTCCTCAGTACAACTACTTAAAGATAATAAAAATATGTACCTTGGGGAGGTATAGGGGTAGTTCAATCAAGGGTGCAAGTGTTTAGCAAAAAAAAAAAACAAAAAAACAAGCTAGAGTGGGAGGCTCTAAGTTCAAGACCTAAGACACACACACACACATGTGCATGTGCATGTGTGTGCATGTTCGTGCATGTGAACACACACACACAACACACAATAATATGTCCTGGGACTCTGAACATGCCTTACTGAATAATGTAAGTGGAAGAGCATTCATTAAATAGGTTGTTTTAACAAACATTAAAAGGTCATAAGGAATTATAAAGCACAAGAACTATCCTTTTATTTTAGCACATTACTTCTAAAAATGCTAATGGTAAAGAAGAATGTTTTCAACAGCCACATATTATTGGCTCATGTGGCAAAAGAGTATACATTTAAATTACACCACTATTTTAATATAAGGAGTTGCTAAGTAGCATGTCTTCCTATATATCTGTGTAAATATGTGCATTTTAGTGTTACTTTTTTTAACCAAATGTGTGTTTTTATATTTATCAGCATTTTATTTTTTTCTTGTAGGGAGGGACATAATTACTGACATACTTTATTAAATGTATGTTATTTTCTACAATATTAACCAAATATCTTTATAACATCTCCACAATTGATAAACACACCTTTTTTGATAGGGATATTCAAATGTTTGATAGACAATGGAAAATATAAGAAAAAAGCCACAATAATATTTCTGCTGTGTTGACATTATTTCACTCATCAAATATAAGGCCTTAAGTTTCTTGTTTCTTTTTATTTTTTTTAATTTGTGAATCATATTTTCCTTCTTAGAACCCTCACCTTTCCTACTTTTTGATAGGCTGGAGTAGAACACTACTGGCAGCCTAAGAGGTGAGGGGCACTTGGTTGCACCTGACTATTTCTAATTCAGACCAAAGAGGGAAGAAGGATGTTTTCCTCACTTTTTGTCTCCCATAGTATTAGATGAAAATTGTTATGGGATAAGAAAATAGGAGCATTGCTTCCTATTTTCATTGTTGGAGTGTTTTTATCATTCTCTAAGCAAGCAGGAGGACCTCTCCTTGAGAAGTAGCCCAGGAGAGAAACACTGGCATTCGCCTCCTGTTTTCTTAATGTTGATTCTTGTGATTTCATTACAGCAAGAATCAACATATGAAACAGATGGTTTTGTTTTCTTCTCAGGTGAAGTATCCTTTCAGGATTCCTAGACCATCTGAACTTAGTCTACTAGAGAGATGAGAGACTTCTAGCCATGTGTCCATAAGTTGCTCTGATTTACTACTAGATTCAACAATCCAGCTTTCAAGAGACAGGTAAAAAAAAATTCAAAAGAAAAAAATTCAAAAGAAATCAATCAGTAATAAGTGACACAACATGAAGTAAATATAAAAAGAATACATTTCACCCACTTATATTTTTCAAGTAGTGCTATTGGGTTTAGCTTGGTTTATCTTCTAGATTCAGCGTTTAGCCTATTTCTTTTTTTTCTTTTTCTTTTAATATGCTTTTTATTGGAAAAATACTATACAAAGGGGTTAGTTACATAAGCAAGGTAATAAGTACATTTCCTATCAAGCTTTGTTGCCTCCCATGCTTTCTAAGATCTGAACCTGTTTTATCTGCAGATATGGGATTTTCTTGGGTTTTGTTGTTGTTGTTGTTAATGTGGGGTTTCTTTATTGCCTAGGCAGGTCTTAAACTCAAAATTATCATGCCTCAGCCTTCAGTAGATAGGTACAACCATGCCAACTTCATATTTATAATTCTTAACCTATTTCTCTACCTTAATGCACATGAGGAGTAATACTTCTATCCTTAATTGTGCAAGTCAGATTCTTAAAATTGTTTTATCTGCATAAGTCAAATGGGTTGAAACAAAAGTTGTCTTCGTAAGTACAGAAAATTAAATTTATTCATTTCAGGAATCCAAAGCTGGTTCAATATTACAAACCTACAGCCAGTATTATACTTAATAGTGAAAACTAAAGCCATTTCCTCTAAACTCAGGAATGAGACAAGGATGTCCACTCTCTCCACTTCTCTTCAATATAGCATTAGAATGCCTAGCTACAGCCATAAGAAAAGATGCAAACATAAAAGGGATCCAAATAGGGAAAGATGAAGTAAAACTCTCCCTCTTTGCAGATGACATGATCTTGTATTTAAAGAATCCCATGGACTCCATTCCCAAATTACTCAAGCTGATTCAAAATTTTGGCAAAGTAGCAGGGTATAAAATTAACCCTCAAAAATCAATGGCTTTCACTTATACAACCACTTTGGAAAGCAGTCTGGAGGGTCCTTAGAAAGCTAAAGATTGACCTCCCTTACGACCCAGTCATACCACTTCTAGGCATCTATCCTAAACAACAGGAATCAATATACAAGGACACGTGCACCTCCATGTTTATTGCAGCACTGTTCACAATAGCTAGGATATGGAAACAACCCAGATGCCCCACCACAGATGAATAGATCCAAAAATTGTGGTATCTATACACAATGGAATATTATGCAGCCATTAGAAATGACAAAATAATGGCATTTGCAGGGAAATGGATGGAGCTAGAAGGAATCATGTTGTCATGTTGAGCGAGGTAAGCCAAGAGCAAAGAGACAAACAGTACATGGTCTCCCTGATAAGTGGACGCTAAATCCAAAATGTTAGGTGATACGACAAAACTAACAGGACTTAAGAAACAAAGAACTCCCACTCATCTGGTCGAACCACTACTAAATATCCCCATGCTGCTGATCACATGTATGGTGTATAACATGTGAACACCATTATATGTTATAGACTGTGATAGACAATTTGCTCCAGGAAAGTTAGAATGAACTTGTGACTTTAAATGAGCATCATTATTCTACAATACCGTGAAATTCGGGAAATTATGTAATCACTTAATCAAAAAAAAAAAAAAAAGAACCTCGGGGAAGGTAGGGAGGGAAGGGATGGTAGGGGGAAAACAATGGAGGGGGTAACAATGTTCAATAGGAAGTGTACTCATTACCTCACTCATGTAACTGTAACCCTCTGTATAGTATCTTTACAATAAAAAAAAATCAATGGCTTTTCTGTATGCCAACAATGAGAAGAGTGCAGTTGAAATCAGAAAGCAATTCCATTTGTAATAGCCCCCCCCCCAAAAAAATAAAATACCTAGGAA